AGCCCACCCCCCACCACTGAGCCTTCTTCTGGTCACCTAGCTCTCCTTTTAATGGACCTTTCTCTAAAAGCCTCCCACAAACCTTGGGTCCCATGGCACTTCGCCATGAGGTCAGCCATTCTATGCAATGAGCCATGGAGAGTCTGTCTATCTAACCTCTAAATGTCCTTTCTGTGTCAACCACCTTAGACATTTTCCTGGGAGCAGGGTCATGCCTGGTGCTTTCTTTGGATAGCCTCATCCCACCAAGTCCATAGACTGCCCTTGGCCTGGGGATAGTGTGATGTGGAAGCCGGTGGGAATGAAGACCAGTGTATCCCTCTGGTTTCCTAACCGACCCTGCTCCCCTCTCAGACCTCACCAACGTCCTGGCTTCCTCACGAAGCTATGCCAAGCTGTTGTTTGCCTGGGAGGGCTGGCATGATGCTGTGGGTATCCCACTGAAACCCCTCTATCAAGACTTTACTGCCCTCAGTAACGAAGCCTACAGACAAGACGGTGAGCCTGCGTCTTTCTCTCCATGGACAGACACCTTTCCTGTCTTATAAGGCATTCTTGTCTGATGTCTCCAGTAAGCCCCAAGTCCCTGAGCTAGATAAAAAACAGCCAGTCTGATAGTCCTAAGATCTCACGGCTAGTGGGAATGGTATGAAATCTGCAGCCAATGGACCTTGCTGTCTTGTCCTCTTACTGATGATGCTCCAGGTACTACTTGTGGCACTGCTCCCAGCCCTAAGACTCTCTACCTCTTTGGGATCTCGGATCTGTTTTGCTGGAGCCTAGAGTAGACCTTGATAAGGTGACCCCTACCTGTAATCCCAGTATTTGAAAGGCTGAGGTAGGAGGATGAGGGGTTTGAAGGTAGCCTGGGTTATACAGTGAGACTCTGGCAAAACCAAAACCAAAACAAAAACAAAAACAAAAACAAAAACAAAAACAAAACTGGTTATGGCACTCGACTGTAATCCCAGAACTCAAGAGACTGAGGCAGGAAGATCTTGAGTTCAAGACCAGCTTGAGCAACAATCTCAATGAAGTGCTTGGAGTCAGGAGAATGGTCCGGTTGAAGCTAGGATGTGTGCGGCCAGAGTGTTGGGCCTGACCTGCATTCTCTCTCCCCGTTAGGTTTCTCAGACACAGGAGCCTACTGGCGCTCCTGGTATGAGTCCCCCTCCTTTGAGGAGAGTCTGGAGAATATCTACCACCAACTAGAGCCCCTCTACCTGAACCTCCATGCCTACGTCCGCAGAGCACTGCATCGCCGCTATGGGGACAAATACATCAATCTCAGGGGGCCTATTCCCGCTCATCTGCTGGGTAAGAACCTGGACCTTGCTGCCCAGAGGAGCTCAGGTGCAGGAGGATGCCTAGAAGAGGGAAGATGGGTCACCCTCATGGTGCCTCAAGCGTGTGAAGTGTCATGACATTTGCTTCCTGATGCAGAAGCTCCCGTGGCTCAGTGTCCCCACCAGCCTGGAATCCTGCTTAATAGAAGGGGACACTGAGGTTTACTTAGGGTGTGCAACAAATTTAGAGCCAACAGAAAACAAGAATAGAGCAGAGCTAAGGGTCAAGTTGATGGCTTTGGCTGCAGGTTCGGGGTTAGTGGCAGCCTTGTTGTAGACCATGAGGACATGAGCCTGCGAGCCTGTAAGCCTGTGGCCCCTTGGTGAAGGATCCTGGCATAATCAGAAAAGACATCAGTAACCAGTCCTGTGGAGCCCACAAAGAATCAGGAGACATATCCTTTGGCCCAAGGGTATATAAGTGCTAATACTTACCCAGGGAAGCAGATATGGGAAATGGAAATGGCTGGGCAGGAGACCCAGCTGTCCCACTTGTTTCTTCCATGTAGGAGACATGTGGGCCCAGAGCTGGGAGAACATCTACGACATGGTCGTACCTTTCCCAGACAAACCCAACCTTGATGTCACCAGTACAATGGTACAGAAGGTAAGCTCTGGGAGTCAGGTCCCAGGTAGGGCAATGAGCTGGAGTCAGGGGTCATGTGATAGACATGAGGCCCCTCCCCTTTTCTGCAACAGTCTTTGCCCATGGTGGCAGAGTGATCTGCTGTGGTCAGTAGTGCCCTACCTTTGGGAAGTGAGGCCCCTGAACCTTAGATACCTTTCCCGGACTGGAAGCTGTCCCGAGTGGAGATTACTACCCCTGAGCTCAAGGCATGGCTCCTCCTGACCTGTTTCCCTGTGTGCTGGCCAGGGCTGGAATGCCACACACATGTTCCGGGTATCGGAGGAATTCTTCACCTCGCTGGGGCTCTCGCCCATGCCCCCTGAGTTCTGGGCGGAGTCAATGCTGGAGAAACCAACTGATGGACGGGAGGTGGTGTGCCACGCCTCTGCCTGGGATTTCTACAACAGGAAGGACTTCAGGTCAGAGCTGGGGAGGGCCCTAAGGAGGCAGCTGTGATACCGACCTGCCTCCATACTGGGGGACTGATCTATTCCAGAACAGTAGGGTGTGGCACCCCATTAGCTCACTATCCCTGAAGTTTCGAGGAACAACCAGCTGTGTTGTCTTAGAGTGGAGGAGGCCTTGAGTGGTGGTGGGTCAGGGCAGATTCAAAAGGGTTGCTAGCTCCTAAACACTCCTCACCCCAGGACAGAGTCCTCCTTGGTCCTGTGTTCCTCCAGGACCAGCCTCCCCAGTGTGCTGGTCTCTACCCTCCACATCACCTCCGTCTCCACCATCTCCACTCCAGGATTAAGCAGTGCACACGGGTCACAATGGACCAGCTGTCCACAGTACACCATGAGATGGGCCATGTGCAGTACTACCTCCAGTACAAGGACCTGCCTGTCTCTCTGCGTAGAGGTGCCAACCCTGGCTTCCACGAGGCCATTGGGGATGTGCTCGCACTCTCTGTCTCTACCCCTGCACATCTGCACAAAATTGGCCTGCTGGACCATGTTGCCAATGACATAGGTATGGGGGCGGGGGCAGTGAATCCAGCCTGGCTCGTTCAGATCTGCGACCACAGATCTCCACTGCCTCCCACTCTACCTTGTCCTCATTTTTAACTTGAGACCCCAGATATACTCACCCTGAGCTTAGCACTCACCCAGAGTCCTTGTCTATGCAGGGCTTAGAACTTGAGGTTCACATTCTCTACCTGCCCAGACTTGCCTCCTGCCAGATGCCCCTCCCCCAGGTCCACTCTGCCCTAGCTGGACTCTCTCCTTCCCCCTTTTTTCTTTCTTCCTGTTTCTGGACAGAAAGTGACATCAATTACTTGCTAAAGATGGCCCTAGAGAAAATTGCCTTCTTGCCCTTTGGCTACCTGGTGGACCAGTGGCGCTGGGGGGTCTTCAGTGGACGCACCCCACCCTCTCGCTACAACTTTGACTGGTGGTATCTTCGGTGAGAAGAGGGTTGGGAAAAGTCTCACCCAGGGGACCTCATGCCTCTACCAATCTTGTCCCTTCCTTTCTAACAATGTCTGCCCTCCGCCCTTCCCGCTGAAACCTCGCCTTCAGGAAGTTCCCCCCCCTCTCATTTTCCAGGCTGTGGAAGGGATGCTGGGGAAGGGATGAGCTAGGGGTGGAACTGGTATCTTTCTGCAAATCTCAGGCAACCTGTCCAGCCTAGGGCCTTAGGATTTACACATCCTCTTCTAGAACCAAGTATCAGGGGATCTGCCCTCCAGTTGACCGGAATGAAACCCATTTTGATGCTGGAGCTAAGTTTCATGTTCCAAACGTGACACCATACATCAGGTATCTCTGCTCCACCCACCCCTGCTCTGTCCTCTTTCAGACCCAGGGGTTGAGAATCGGAATGGTCCTTCCTGGGCTACGCTCTGTTTCTGCCTTCTTCCCAACAGACAGCCCTTAGTCCAGCTGTCACAGGCAGGACACCGGGTAGAGCTGGGCAAGGGCCCTTTGTCTAGCTCCCCATATTCTTTCTAGCACCCGTCTGTGCCCACAGGTACTTTGTGAGCTTCGTGCTGCAGTTCCAGCTCCATCAAGCACTGTGCAAGGAGGCAGGCCACCAGGGCCCACTGCACCAGTGTGACATCTACCAGTCCACCCAGGCGGGGGCCAAACTCCAGTATGTGGCAGGGATGGAGAACAAGAGGAGGGGCTGAGGGAAGAGGCTGGTGGAGGGTGCTTCTGTGGGGAGCTGCCTGCTCTGCTTGGAACACCACAAAGCCAGCATGTACGGTGTCTTGTGGAGTAACTCTTTCCCCTCTCCTCTATTCCTTCATATTCTTTCCCTCTCTCCATCCCCTCTCCCTCTCTTTTCTTCCCTTCTTCCCTCTCTCCCTCCCTCTTTCCCCTGTCTTTCTTACATATCAAATATTAAGTAGGCCTTCAGCTGCCATGGGTCAGGCAAATATCCCCTACCAGCCTCACGGAGACCCCAACCCTAGAGTTCTTTTACTGATGAGGGACAAATGAGCAATGGTATTGTGGTGGGCCCGCCCTGTGTCCCCCATGCCTACAGTGGACACTGTTTGGCAGGCAGGTGTTGCAGGCTGGCTGCTCCAGGCCCTGGCAGGAGGTGCTGAAGGACCTGGTAGGCTCAGATGCCCTGGATGCCAAGGCACTGCTGGAGTACTTCCAACCAGTCAGCCAGTGGCTGCAGGAGCAGAATCAGCGGAATGGTGAAGTCCTAGGCTGGCCGGAGTATCAGTGGCGTCCACCATTACCCGACAACTATCCAGAGGGCATTGGTAAAGCTCTGGGTGAGGGCGGACTGGGACCAAGAGAAGTCCTGGCCTCTGGCCTCTGGGCCCAAGCTGTAGCTTCCTGGTCAGTCTGCTGCCAGCTGAGCCCTGGTGTCCTTTGCTTCGATGCCAAGCTGCCCCTGGGCTCATCCTCAGGGTTCTACAGCAAAAATGGGTATGTCTTTCTCCCAGGATCCTAGAGACAGTGTGCCCAAGCCTGAGGGCCCCTGGGGTCAGGCTGGCTGGCTCTTGCTCTATGAGGTCACACTACAGGCTCAGCTCTTATTGGCCAGTGGTGGGGGCTGCAGGGCTCTGCTCTCCTGCGGCCATGGGCCAAGGTTGGGCTACTCCAGGACTGCCCAGCTTCCTCTTCCTGCTACTCTTCTGCGGGCACCCTCTATTGGTCCTGAGTCAGGTGACCACTGACCACGTGACAGCCAACCAGGAGATAACAAACCAGGCAACAACCAGAAGCCAGACAACATCTCACCAAGCAACAATCAGCCAGACAACCCAGTTCCCAAGTGGGACTCCTGGAAGGGAGCAGGGCCGTGAGGGGGCAAGGAGCCAGGGACCAGCAGGAGGGAACTCCAATGAGACCACACCTTGTGATAAGGAAGACAAGGCCTGTCTGTTTTCCTCCTCACCTCCTACAGACCTAGAGACTGATGAAGCCAAGGCTGGCAGGTTCGTGGAGGAGTATGACCGGACAGCCCAGGTGTTGTGGAACGAGTACGCAGAGGCCAACTGGCAATATAACACCAACATCACCATAGAGGGCAGCAAGATTCTGGTAGGAGCCACTTCCACCAACTCCAACACACACACACACACACACACACACACACACACACACACACGGCACCACGCTGTCAAAATTGGTAAAAAAAAAAAAATCTAAACAGAGTATTTAAAACAATACTCTGTTTCCAGTTTAGTGGGCTTGGACTCCACACCTGAGCGAATTTTTCTGGTTTACCATTCTCTAGGACTCTCAAACTAATTCACTGCACATCAGTGACTTATAACATTAGAACGTTATAACATCAGCGTTATAAGTGACTTATAAACGATGTTAGTGTCACTTCTTAAAGGACCGACAGCCTGTCAACACTGAGGGATCATTCCCCTGTACCTTGGCCCTTCCTCTGTGACCGAGTATACATTATACTACAGAAAGCCAACTAGCCATGTACTCCAACCATTGGGTGCTAATGTTGACTGAAGACCCACTATGTGTTGCAGCCCCTGGGTCCTTGGTACCTCAACTTCTCTTCCTGCACACACCCCTTGGCAGTTATGCATAAGCAGTGAAATTCTTCCCATTTCAAAGATGCAATTCCTGAGTACTCAGGTCAGGAGGGCTTCTATCAGCACACTGCCTTCATCCTGATGACACTGAAGGCATGCTAAGCTCCTTCTCCCTACCTGCTAGACTGCAGCCATCTGCCGAGGAACTCATACCGAACCTGATGTGTTAGCAGACGGTCCAGGTTGAAGTGGAGGGTATTTGTCAGGGCAAGGATACCAGCCTAATGAAACGACACTCCTCACCACCTTCATAGACTCTCCTACACAGAGGTCATGCCAAATATCCTGAGCCTGTGACACCGCCCCCTTGTGCCCTCAGCTTCAGAAAAACAAGGAAGTGTCCAACCACACCCTGAAATATGGCACCTGGGCCAAGATGTTCGATGTGAGCAACTTTCAAAACCCCACCATCAAGCGGATCATAAAGAAGGTTCAGAACATGGACCGGGCAGTCCTGCCTCCCCAGGAGTTAGAAGAGGTATGTGGCCATGCAGAGCAGTGAGTGGAGACTGCTGGGAAGTGAGCCATTCTGGGACTGAGTCCATGCTACTCTCTTGATTTGCTAAGTTTTAATATGGGCCATGTCTGCATGTCTCCACATTTCCCGTAACTGTAACACTTGGAGGGTACATGCTCCCATGGGTCCCACCCATGGTACCTGGCACCAGACCAAAATGGGGGGCTCCTCACTACCCTTCCCTTCCCCTTACAGTACAACCAGATCCTGCTAGACATGGAGACAACTTACAGCATAGCCAACGTTTGCTACACAAATGGCACTTGTCTGCCATTGGAGCCTGGTGAGATTACCCCTGGATGAAAGGGGAGGACTGGCTGGTAGGGATGAGGATACTGTCAAGGGGAGGGCTTTCTGGACTCCTTTCCACGGGTAGAACTGCTCTGCCCCCACTGAGAACCAGAGCCCCGTTCAAATTTCCCTAATCCTCTGCTTCTGTAAAGTTGTCTCACGCGCCCAGAATTCCTCAGGTCTCCTTTCCCTTCTCCATGCGCCTCAGAGCAGCAGACTCTTAAGCATGTGTTTCAGAGGCCCAGACCCCAAAAAGGAGAGTCACAGACCTTCTAGCCTTAAGTCTCCACCTCCTCTGACCTCCTTAGAATGTCCTCCCTCGCTGAGGGAGATTGCTGGAAAGGAAATGGGAGCGAATGAATCATAGAAGAGGCCCACAGCCCTAGAAATGCCAAATTAGAACGTGGCCTCCTGTTCCTAGCTGATACCGTTCCACACCATCCCTTGGCGACTGAACCTTTCCGCAGAGAACCGGTTATGAACTGGCTCATAACCACCTCTCTCCAGACACTTGTTTCTCTTCAACCTGTGTCCCCTTTGCCAAGGTTCACTCTGGCCCCACTAATATCCACACAGATACTCACACAGCTCACTCTTCCCAAGGCTGGTGAGCCAGTCATAAGCATTCTTTTCGAGGAATCTTTACCAGAAGTTGTTTCCTCCTAACCCCACCCCAGCTCCCAGGTCAGAACAAGAACAAACAGAAGGGGAAGTGGAAAATAAACAGGAGGAAGAGAGAGGCCCAGAGCAGTGTCTGCCCTATAGGTAGTGGATGTGGTTACTCACGCAGAGGGTGAGTGAACATCTCCATGCTTCACGCACACGGGCGTGTAAGAACTCCTAGGACATGCATGCATGCATGTCTGGGTGTATATTTCTAAATGTGTATATTTAAAAAAATATTTGAATAGTATTTGGTATCCCTGCCATACAGTATTTTGATCTAGGCCATCTGGTCATAGACATGGTAATTAAAAGGTCCGTGTAGACCAGTGACTCATCAGAAAGCAGACACAGAAATCTGAAAGCAAGTCTTTTTCAATGAAAGCTAATTAAGTTTACCTTTTGCTGTGACAAGTGTATATGACATAGAATGTTCCAGAACAGAGACCCTAAGCACAAGTTCAACAGTGAGGGCTTGGGCTACACTAGATCCTCCAAGCCTTTTCCATGTAGGCCAGGGTCAAGGCAGGAGGGGAAGGCACCAGTTTCAAGATAGACGCCTGCAGTCTTGTGGGGCCCTTACCCCGGCCTAAGAATTGGATGCTACCTCTGTTCTTACTGGGGGTTTCTCACGCAGAGTGGCATTCACAGGACATAAACACAGGGTCTCTTCCTTCCTGGGGACAGCTCAGATCTTGCCTCTACTCAGCCCTTACCGCTACAGTTTGATTAATTTCAGCCCAACGACAATTTGCAAAGGATGCTGGGGGTCCCTAGGGCCATAGCAATGAGAAGGCACAGCTCCCTGCTCAGGGGCAGTGCTCTCTCATTCCATGTCCACATCCCTGGGAGGACTACAGTCACTTCCTTGTTTAGAGATATGGAAAGAGATAGGTCCGTGGGAGAGAGCCCTTGAACTCAGGCCCGTGAAACTCCATAAACCATTTCTCCCGGGAAAGGGAATTTATGAGAGAACCTTTTGTTTCTGCTCTGGCCTAGCCATGTCCTATATGTGGACACAAGCATGTCATTAAGATGCTCATAAGAGAAGAACAAGGCTATCCCTTTCAGGGTGTCTGAGGTTGTGTACGGGCAGCATGTCACCCCAGGTGGGCACCCTGGAGCTGCTCATGGCCACTAGCTCCCCATCTTCCCCACTCTCGCTAGACTTCCTGCCCATTTTTGTCATTTCCCAAGTGCTCTTAGCAGTTTTATTCCAACTCTGAAACTCTATGACCAAGTTCCCTCATAAACAGATGAGAGGTAAGGCCATGAACCAAGGCTCAAGTTATCCGACCCCTTCCTTCCAGATCTGACAAATATAATGGCCACATCCCGGAAATATGATGAGTTGCTATGGGCGTGGAAGAGTTGGCGAGACAAGGTGGGGAGAGCCATCCTTCCCGTTTTCCCAAAGTACGTGGAATTCTCCAACAAGATAGCCAAGCTTAACGGTGAGTTACCAGTGCTGGTACCTCTGGCTGGCTGCTCCTCAGCACCTTAGACTCCTCAGAGGTCCTCTGGGATCCTCAGGCTAGGGACAAGTAGGGCCCTAGAGGTGTCAGGGACATATTGGGTGAGTGATGGCTGTTGGGATAACTCAGCTGCATCTCCTGTGCAGGCTACGCTGATGGAGGGGACACATGGAGAGCCTTATACGAGTCTGACAACTTGGAGCAAGAACTGGAAAAGCTGTACCAGGAGCTGCAGCCACTCTACCTGAACCTGCATGCCTACGTGCGCCGTTCCCTGCACCGCCATTATGGAGCCGAGTACATCAACCTGGATGGTCCCATTCCTGCCCACCTGCTAGGTAAGGACATGGGTCCAGCTTCAAGGAGGTGGACAATGAAGGGGCAGGATAGTGCTGGCCACAAGGCAGAGATCAAGCCAGAATAGTGACAGAACCTGAAGCTCTGAGGGAGCATGACCAAGACTGGAGTGAAAAGGGTTTGGGGGAACTTCCCACTCATCTTTCATACCACAAATGTTGTTTGTTTGTGGTGCTGAGGACTGAACCCAGGGCCTTATATGTGGCAGGCAATTGCTCTGACCCACTCTCTCCAGCTTTTCTGGTGCCGTGGCAGCCACAGAATTAAGATGTACAAGCCTTTTACCATCTTTTAGAGGGAAGACCACATTACCCATCATGCCCTGAGACAGCAAGATCCAGGAGTCTTGGTGTGGGGCTTGGGGAAGTTTCATATGAACCTTGAAAGATGTGAGGTTTTGGCAGGGATAGGGTGGAGGGTCTGGGTCAAGGTGTGACAATAGAGTCTTCTAGGGCTTTAAATATTAAAATAACCCTGAGCGTATGAAGGAGAAAGGGGAGGAACACAGTGAAAGAGAGAAGAGCTAGGGGGAAGACAGAGGCTGTTATGCTCTGCCCCTATTGGATCAGTACTTTCCTGGTGTTATTACGAACAGTGAAGCCAGAGAGAGCACATTTAGAGGTCATTTGGAAGACGTCCCCCCAGAAGGTGGTTCTACTGTGGGTCTGATTCTCACTCACTTGGAGCGTTGCTGCATCCCAAGAGCCTGACCCTCCTCCATCCCTCTTTGGGGGAGTCCAAAGACAATCTAAGTAGACATCAACTCAGTGACCAAGAACACGGAGCCCAGGAAGGACGCAGGACAATCCAGGTGGCCAGGGATCCAGGCTGGGGCTGAGAATTTCATCTCCAGTGATGAGAGAAGAAAGCCCATAGTATAGTATATAGTATAGTATAGTATAGTATAGTATAGTATAGTATAGTATAGTATAGTATAGTATACAGAACCTGAAGCTCTGAGGGAGCATGGCCAAGACTGGAGTGAAAAGGGTTTGGGGGAACTTCCCACTCATCTTTCGTACCACAAATGTTGTTTGTTTGTGTTATAAATGTTGTGTTGTTGTTTTATATAATAGTATAGTAATAGTATAGCATAGCATAGCATAGCATAGCATAGCATAGCATAGCATAGCATAGCATAGCATAGCATACTTCCCCCACCAGCATTCCCATCCCCTTCTCATCTCTCCACCAATCTCCCTCTGACACACTCTCCCTCAGCTACGGTAGACCCCTGACTCTATGTGGATTTTTGAACTTTCCACTCGTTCTGAATGTCCCTCTCCTCTCCAGTCCTGGAGAGCAGGACTCTTAAATCGACACTAAACTCTGGGGCATTAGCCATTTGTGGCCTGCTAGCATTTAAAACCAATCTCATCTCTTAGGAGTTATGAACGCCTCTTGGGATTATGTAATTCTCTCCAGACCCAAGGTCCTCTGCTACACAGTACCAGGAAGCAGGCAGGATTACAAGTTATTATATGCCATGTGCTTTGGGTCGGTGTTTGGAAGTGATGGTCATGGGTGCCGATGCTCCGGGGACTTGGATTTCTCTTGTGGAGGACTCCTTTACACCTCATGAGTAGTGAAGACTACCTTGATTCCTAATGCCTAGCAAGGGTTTCACCTGCAACCAATATTGGAAGTGACCTTGTGGGCTGGGTATGTAGGTGGGAGACCCGTACATCAAATAGCCAGCACAGTCTGCAAACAGTTGGTACTCAAGAGATACCACCTTGATTGACAGGATTGGGATCTGGCTCCTCTTCCTGCAGATTTCTCTGAGTCTACATGATTACATTTCCTCTCTGTCATCTCTTTCCTCCTTGCTTCCAGGGAACATGTGGGCACAGACCTGGTCCAACATCTATGATTTGGTGGCGCCCTTCCCTTCTGCTCCCAATTTAGATGCCACGGAGGCCATGATAAAGCAGGTCAGTGAAGCTAAGACAGCCATCTGTGAACCTCCTGAGGGAACGAGGGAGGGCAGTCCCAGATGGAAGGACAGATACTCTCCCTCCCTCTAGTATAGCCCTCTCACATCCTCTCTCCTGTCACAATGGTGTCTGTCAATCAGAAACCCCAGTTTGCAAAGAACTCTCTGTGCTTGCAGGGATGGACACCCAGAAGGATATTTAAGGAAGCTGACAATTTCTTTACCTCCCTGGGGCTGTTACCTGTGCCCGATGAGTTCTGGAACAAGTCCATGTTAGAGAAGCCAACCGATGGAAGGGAGGTGGTGTGCCATGCCTCAGCCTGGGATTTCTACAATGGCAAGGACTTCAGGTCTGTCTGATTGGAACTAGGACCCTTATCCTAAGTCCAGGGACAAGGATATGGCTCTATGGCTATCCCCTCAACTGGAGTGAACAGGACAGATGGAGGCAGTTTGGGATGACATTGAGAATCAAGAGTCAAGGAGTTTGAATCAGTTCCAGGCATGAGAATCAGGTTGGGAAATTCCACCTAAGAAAGTTATCGGCAGCTCTTTCAGTGGTCAGTTGGATGCTTAAGGTCACAGACCTGATGTAAGTAGGTTCTGTGTATGCTGCAAAACTTCCTTTACATATTGCTGGCCCTTCCTGTGGGTATACCGCTGGTACACAGGGAGGCACACTCACCGATGACAGACAAGGCATTGTTCTTATACAGTTGGGGTTAATTACCTACAGCTGTCTAACAGACTGCCCCAAAATCTAGTGGCATCAAATAACTAGCTAATCCTCAAGGTTCCATGTGCTGTGCAGGAGAGCTTCAGGCAGTGCACCGTGAAAGCGCCCTTACTCAGCAGTGACAGACATCTCAGAGTATTTAAAAACTTAATTAGGCCAGCAAGGTGTCTCAGAAAATAAAGGTGCTTGCCATCACCTCTAATGACCTGAGTCTAATCCTCCAAATCCACATGGCAGAGGAAGAGAACGGACTTTCAAAAAATGCTGTCCTTCGATGGCCCTGGGCATACCATGGCAGGTGCACACACACATAAATATATAAACCCTTACAACTTTAATAAACTGGCACTGGGGGAAGTGACTCCTAGGGGTTTGTGAAGGCTGGAAAAGCATTCTGTCACTAAGTCACGCTCTAGACACAGCTGGAGTAATTTTAACGTCTCATCTGGAACCATTTGCCCAGGATGTAGTTTTGGCTATTGGCTGAGTTTTTCAGTTTTCCTCCACATGCCTAGGTTAGAATGTTCAAGGTGACCTGGTTAGGGTGTCTGCTTAGTGTGGCTGGAGAAGCTTGGGGTTGATCAGGGATCTTTTTGGCACAGGCTGGCAGATGTATTAAAGCAGAAGCAGCCAGGCTTTTCAGTGGCTAAATTTAAAACTGGCACAGAGTCCTGTCTGCTATGGGTCCCTCCCACCTCCGGCATTCCTCTTTTTAAACAGAGTCTCACTATATAACTTAGGCTGACATTGAACTTGTGATGATCCTCCTGCCTGAGGCTCCCAAGTGCTGGGACCTCAGGTATCTTTATCTTTAACCTTACATGTCTACCACATTCTATTGGCTATAGAAAGTCCCAAGGACAACTCAGATTCAAAGGAAGGGGGGAAGACTATGTCTGGGTTGAGGCAGAGATACAGTCTCCAGCTGACGAAGTGTCCATATAAGACAAGTGGATACAAAGCCAGGACAGAAACAAAGTGGGGTTCGTGGGGTTGGGGAGTGCTGCCTTAGCCTTGGGCCCTTTGAAGGCATTAGGGCTTGGAGCTGTAAGGTCCAGGTACATTGCCAAGGTGATCGGGGATCACAGGGGTGAGGATTCCTGTGGGAATCCTTCTTTATGGGGAGTCAGATACAAGGTAGACAGACTCCACCCTCAGTGGGTCGGGGATGTTGGGCAGCTCCTCCTCCCCCTCCCCGTAAGAAAGAACTATGAGGCGAACCCGCACTGAGTGACTATGCTTAGATCCTAGGCAGAAGTGCCCATCATTGGAAGCGGCTTGTAGAAGAGAGAGAGAGGGACTGACACAGGAGGCAGAAGCCTCCTGGGTTGGACAGCTCTGTAACTGCCATCCAGCCCTGGCTATTAGCATTCTTCAAGTGAATCTACTCCGTGGTTTTGGATTAAATGAGATGCAGATTACCACAGCCTGTATGTTCCCCTGGAATCTCCAACCCTGGAAGATAAAGTTCATGGGAAAACACTGGACAGACATTCTACAATGTTCATAATTTATGTCTTTGGGCCTGCAGAGCCCAAAGCAATAGACAGGGTGGATTGGAGCTACTCAGGGAAGCTAGGGACAGAGGGATGGCTACAATGACCTTTAGAAACTACTAGCCCTCAGGCTACATCTTTCTTAGGATAGCTTGATTTCTCCTTCCCATCATGCCATGCTCCTTGCATACACGGGGAGCATGTCTGCTTCATATGATGCATGCACCGTGGTCCCTTTGCACCTTTGATATTCTAACACCCCTTCTCCCAATCCCTGTTCCTAGGATCAAGCAGTGTACCTCTGTGAACATGGAGGACTTGGTGGTAGCCCATCACGAAATGGGCCACATCCAGTATTTCATGCAGTACAAAGACTTACCTGTGACCTTTCGGGAGGGTGCCAACCCCGGCTTTCATGAGGCTATCGGAGATGTTCTAGCTCTGTCGGTGTCTACCCCAAAGCATCTCCACAGTCTCAACCTGCTCAGCAGTGAAGGCAGCGGCTACGGTGAGAGAGGGCAGGGACCCTGTTGTCCAGGCTGGGAACACAGAAGGGGTAACATACTTGGGAGGTGGGAAGGAAGATTTTGTAGACCCCCCATACCCTGCACAAAGATCTAAGATAGACCATTAGGAAGGGAAGAAGACCCCCAGCAGGATGAGCCTGAGAGGAAATCACACAGATCATCCTAAGAAGGGTGAAGAGATTCAGTACCTTCCTCCCCTCCCCCGACTCATGAGCCTGAGGCTGTGTTCTTTCTGTCTTTCCCTTGCCAGAGTATGACATCAACTTTCTAATGAAGATGGCCCTCGACAAGATCGCCTTTATCCCCTTCAGCTACCTCATTGACCAGTGGCGCTGGAGGGTCTTTGATGGAAGTATCACCAAGGAGAACTACAACCAGGAGTGGTGGAGCCTCAGGTTCTAGAACGCTCTGGTGGGGCTGTGGATGGGAAGGGATTTCTGAAATGTCTGTATGTGCTTTGAGTGTCTACAGATGAGCCAGTGAAGTGTGTGTGAGCACATACCAGTGATGGGGTCCCCTGGGGGTGGCTGCATGCAGGAACACAGCATACAGGACTAGAGGACATTCTGATGCAGGAACCATTCTTCATGTAAAAAAATGACCACCCCCCTCTCAACTTCTTTCTCTCTAAACTCACCCTCTTCTCACATCTTCCTCTCTGACAGGCTGAAGTATCAGGGTCTCTGCCCTCCAGTGCCTAGATCCCAAGGTGACTTTGACCCAGGGTCCAAGTTCCACGTTCCGGCAAATGTGCCGTACATCAGGTAAGACTAAAGGGAGGAGAGGGCGCCATGAAGGGTGGTGTCCCTTGGGTTCATGTTTAAACTTTCACGACTGGGCACTCCATGATGGAGGTGCTCCATCAGACCTGCAGGAGCTGGCTCATGACACATGGTGTCTGGGTCCACTCACCTGGTACCAAAGCCATTTCTTTAAATGTTCCTTGGATAACATGAGAGTCCCCGTCAACTAAACAGTTAAAACCAGAAACTTCACCAGAAGATTGGCTATTAGTTGCAAGGCCTAGTCTAGGGAGGATTTCTGTTTCAAAACAGGTTTCATTCTGCATCCCAGGCTAGCCTATAGCTAACTGTGTAGTTCGGGCAGGCCTTAAATTTACAGCAGTCCTCCTATCTTAACCTAGCCTGGAAACGGAGCCACCACACCCACCACTGACAGGGCAGTTGCCACATGGCTGGATACCCCATTGCTTGGGGCTGACATGGGCCCCATTGATTGATTTGCTTTGAAACAAGATCCCTTTGTGGGGCCTTTTGAGTCCAATTGAACAAACTGCCTGCAGCACATATTGAGTTATATCTGAAATATTCTGTAGTGTGTAGCCCAGGACAGAAGGCCCTGTTTATGTAGGAGGCTGGGTGGTTAGGGACAAGTTACCAGCTTGAGGCTCAGAGGACATTCTTTGAACAATGTCCTCTATCTCTATGATTATCCATATTCTCACCTTGATCTCAACACAAGGGCTAACAATTCAGCCACCTTTCTACAGAGAACATACTGGGGACCTGGTAGCTGTGATCCTCCATTGTGAATTATTCTCTTAAGTGCGTTGCGTCAACCCACTGGCCTGTGCGTCATTCAGCCATAGCATAAGTGGCCAAGGCAGTTCCTTTCCTTCCTCATGCTCTTGGGAGATGGGGTGGGGCAGGGGTGCTTACTCAGGGGGAGGAAGGATGGGTATGGGATCCAGAGTTGTGACTAGGCAGATCTCAGGACAGAGTCCCTGGTACCCAGGCTAGTACCTGGTACCCAGGCTACAGAGGTCAGAGAAGGCCTCTCAAGAAGGCTAAGCTGCTCACAGGACTTGCCTCTAGTAATCTCTGGAGGCCAAGGGGAGGCAGGCCCTGACACCAGGACTAAAGTCAGCACATACTAGGATGAATGGAGTCTGGGACCTGGAAAGAAAGACAGCACTCACTCTCCAAGGTTACAGAGGACCAAGGAGCAAGAGGAGTCATTGCTGGGACCCATCAGCCTTGACCTAGACAGTGCCCTAGTGAGGACCTTGAGGGACAGGTCTCCGGTGAGGCCATTACCACCTACTAGATCTCTTAAAGTCCCAGCACATAGTCTTGCCTTGAGATGGACCCTGTGACAGTGGCCCAGCTTAAGCACAATTATCCAGAGAGGAGTAAGCAAAGGAGACTTGGCTCTCTAGAAAAACACATCTCACCGGCCTGCAGCCTGCATAAACACCATGGAAGTGCCAGGGGAGTGGGTAACAAACGGCTTTTGCCCAGAATCCAAAGGAAGGAGCCTGTTCCGCTACTCAGAATGTTTAAAACCAGAGTTGGTATGGTTGCCCAGGCTTGACTGGCAGATTCCCACCAGGAAATTCCTGCTACCTCAGATAAGACTGTTCTTGCTGCCTTCCCTACTGAGAAGGCCCAACCACGTCTACAGGCTCCACCCAGCAATCCCTAGCCTTCTGCTCCATCGATGGAAACCACACAGCCTGCCAAGGCTTTGATGGGCTCTTTTGTTAACCTCTTCGTGCCTGCTCTTTGGATCCCCTTGGAGCAGGAATGTAGGCAGCCTGTGGGTGGGCAGCAGCCACACAGGCATAGCTGGGAAGATAGGACCAAAGGCAATGGTGACATCCTGACTGCATCCAGTGTCTCCCATGATTGTCAGAGGGGCTGGGTATGAACAAGCCCCTCCATCTCCACCCCACTCTACCTTCCCTCTAGTCTAGACACTTCACCCACGACGCATGTCATCCCCCTCCCCAACTCCAGGTACTTCATCAGCTTCATCATCCAGTTCCAGTTCCACGAGGCGCTGTGTCACGCAGCCGGGCACACGGGTCCACTGCACAAGTGCGACATCTACCAATCCAAGGAAGCAGGGAAGCTCCTGGCGTGAGTGTCCTTGAACCTCCTTTGACTCTTTGGCCCTGAGAAACCACAAAAGCTATCCTAGGACCAAGAACAGCCAGGAAGAGCCTGAATCACCACCCTTGACATGTCACCTCTAAGGGGGACACTGGAGTCCCTGGAGCCTCCCCTCTCCACCCCTGCCTCAGACCTACTCAGGCTTTCCCAATCCTAAAGGGATGTCTAGGCTGGGAAAATGGGTTTGAAGAAAGAGTGTCAGACTAGGTAAGAGAACCCAGGTCCTTCTTACTCAGTTTCCCTTTCTCGGGGCTTCCCCTCAGGGATGCCATGAAGCTGGGCTATAGTAAGCCGTGGCCAGAGGCCATGAAGCTGATCACAGGCCAGCCTAACATGTCAGCCTCCGCCATGCTGAATTACTTCAAGCCACTGACAGAATGGCTCGTCACTGAGAACAGGAGACATGGAGAGACACTGGGCTGGCCCGAGTACAACTGGACACCAAACACGGGTACTACTACTCACCCCACCTCCAGTCCCAGGCCCAGCTCCCAGAGCTCATATAGGGCTGAACCCCATCCCCAGTCCAGACAGACTCCAGTCTGATCTCAGAGCAAGAACAGGGGCGCCAGAACACAAGACCCCAGCCCACCTGTCGCCCTGCCCACCGCCCTGTCTCCTTGCTTCCTCGCTCAGCTCGTGCAGAAGGCTCCCTCTCAGAGTCCAACCGCGTCAACTTCCTGGGCATGTACCTGGAGCCGCAGCAGGCCCGTGTGGGGCAGTGGGTGCTGCTCTTCCTAGGCGTCGCCCTGCTGGTGGCCACCGTGGGTCTCGCTCATCGACTCTACAACATCCACAACCATCACAGCCTCCGCCGGCCCCACCGTGGGCCCCAGTTTGGATCTGAGGTGGAGCTCAGACACTCCTGAGATGACTTTGCTGGCAAGGCCAGCAGAGGAGTGTCCCATAAGAAACTGGATGGGGGACATGGTGTTTGAGTGGAACATACCCTAGCTGAGCCTTCCTCCTTTGCTGTCCCCATCCACTCTGCCCCCCAGGCCCAGCCCCCATTCTCTAGATACCCAGCATCTAACATGGACTTCCCTGCCTAGTCTCTGTGAATACAATTAAAGGTCCCCCCCCAACACCTGAGTCTGTGTCCCTTGTGGGAAGCCAGGGACAGGACCAGCTGCTTGCCTGTCTCCTGACAGTCCAGCAGGACCCTTTACTGGTTGCCTTCTCAGTCTTTCTCCAAGCAGGAACCTAATCCCAAGTGCTCTGGACCCCATCCCCCACAACCTTTCCCACCAGCCTTCCTAACCCACCAGCCCTGGTGAGGTGGCTTGTGTCCTGCTCACCCATGCACTTGCCAGGGAGGATCCTAGGAAACAGAAAGGAAGCAGGTACTGTGGGCTGCCTCCTGCTTTACATGTGGATACACTATGGATGGCTCATCCTGCTCCACAGTGACCTCTGTGTGGGTGGGTGTCTCAGGGGGAAGGCCCTGGATGCCCTGGAAGGGCCTGACTCACGAGCACGGACCATGCCAAAGCCCTGCTGGTTCACAAGTAGACAGCCTGGGTTCCCTGATGGAGCCACGCAGGCTCTGCCCATGGGAAAGAGCATTAACCGGTGACCACACAGTGGGTTCCCTGCTACAGCCCACCTCCTCATCCCAGAACACATCCCCTCAGCCTAAGCCATCCTTTGGAAGGCTTACTTGGATTTTGGGGGTGTTGCTTGAAGTAACTTTTTAATCTACATATTTATGTAGTAAATTTGGGAAATCTGAATTAAAAGCCCATGATAGCAACATCAAGAAATATAAGCACTGTTAGCACTCTGGTATCGTCCAGTCTTTTTTATTTTTCTCTAGATATAAATGAGGTACCACTATATTCTATGTGTCTTTTTTCCCTTTAACATAAATGCATCTGTTTTTAAAAAATAATTACCAAACCTAGCTCTTGGCCAAATGGAAAATGGTCAGATTCCAGCTGGGTCCCACTTCTGTTAGTACCCTCAGCCCAAATTGTCTCTAGGCTTTGCATCTCTCTCTCTCTCTCTCTCTCTCTCTCTCTCTCTCTCTCTCTCTCTCTCTCTCTCTGTGTGTGTGTGTGTGTGTGTGATGTATCTGTGTATGTGTGCTCTCTCTCTCTCTCCCCCCTCTCTGTGTGTGTGTGTTTGTGTGTGTGTGTGTGTTATCTGTATGTGCAGGGGTATGGAGTTGAGGAATTTTGGATTTACAAGAGGGTGGAAGTTTACAATTCAGCAAGACAATGAAACTTATAAACACACCCTCTGGATTGTTCCAAGCTATATAACCACAGACTTTAGTTCCCCTACCCCACCCCCTTCCCTTTTGCAATTTGTTTGCCAGACAAAGGTCATTGTCACATAACCTCCTTTCCTATTTTTATAAACTACAGAGGTTCATGCTGCCTCTCAGGGCTGTGGGCAACGTGAGGTCACCAGCCTTCACCCAAAGGACCATGCTTCAGGCTGAGGGCAAAGGATTTCACCATGTGGTTACTGTGGCAAACTTATCTACTGTCTGTGTGTGTATGTGTGCATGTGCATTTGCTTTTGTGTGTGTGTGTCTACATGAGTGCCTGCACATGTGCATGTGAGCTAGCTAGCACCCTGTGTAGAGGTCAGAAGACAACTTACAGAAGTCTGTTCCCTACTTCCAGCATGATTCTGTGGATGGAACTCAGGCTGACAGGTTTGTTTACCAAGAGCTTAACCCAGCCCTTCCTTGGGTTGTATTGTATGGGGCATGTGCGCATGCAGACACCGTGGAGCACTTCTGGAGGTCAGAGGACAGCTTGCAGGGGTTGGGTCATTCCTTATACTGTGTGGGACCTGGGGACCAAACTCGGGCTGTCAGACTTGACAAGTGCCTTTAGTCACTGAGTCATTTTGCCAGCCCTCCACTTTATTTTTTGAGACGAAGTTTCTCACAGAACCAGGAGCTCACCAATTCCACTAGACTACTGGCCCCCAGGGATCCAAGTATTACTGCTTCTGCCAGGTCTGGATGTGCCCAGCCATGCCCAGCTTTTACAAGGGTGCTGGGGATTTGAACCCAGGTCCTTGCAAGCACTTCCCCAGTGGAGTTGTCATCCTAGTCTCCCCACCCCAACTTTTTGAAACATTACAATTGTTTTGGATTTATTGTATTCTGAGACAGAGGTCTTGCTGTGTGATCCAGGCTGACCTCAGATTTTCCTCTGGCCTCAGCCTCCTGAGTACTAGGGTTATATACATACGCCAACATTCTCAAACATTACATTCGTCCAAATTCCTGTTTATGCTTCTGTGGGTGAAAAGGAAGGGATGGAGTCTACCTGGAAGTTGGCAGGGAGAGAGAGAGAGAGAGAGAGAGAGAGAGAGATCCTCTTGCTTCGGTGTCTCCAGTACTGGAATTCCAGATGTGAGCGACCACACCTGGCCACCTGACAACACACATTCTTTATGACTCATTCAGAGGTTTTATTTTATTTTAAATTGCATTTGTTTATCGGGGGCTGCTCACCACAGCACACGTGGGGACGTCCGAGGACAACGTCTTTCCTCAGTGGCATCTGCTCTGTTCACTGTCTCTGCCATTGGGCACAGGCTCTGGAACCAGAGCAGTTGGATTTGAGTCCAACTGTGTCTATACACAAGCCCCTCTCCTTGTCTCCATCTGAAAATGGGATGTTGGTCAAAGTGAAAGTCCCCTCATGGGGCCAGTACCTGGAAAGTCCTCTGGGGGACAGGTTACTAAGGCACATCTGACTTTACATTTCCTTCTACTTGAGAAGATTTACTTATGAGTTGTGTCATGTGTTGTGGGTGTGGCTCAGCCAGTGCCTGCCTAGCACTCACAAAACTCTGGAGGTGATCCCCAGTACCACATAAACCAGAAGTAAAGACATGCCTGCAGAGCTAAGGGGCTAGGAGGAGGAATCAGGAGTTCAAGATCATCCTCAGCTTGATAAGCCAGCCTGGGTTCCTGGAGACGCAGCCAAGAAAGAAAAGGGTTGAGGCAGGGAAGAAAGAAGGTAGGAAAAAGAAATCAAGCCTGGCTGAGGCTTTATGAAAGGTGTCATATCTGTACTGTAGATGGTGACTGGCTGCTGGACCCAGGTACCAGTGCTTTGTGGCAGCACTGTGACCTCCCATGTGGCCACAGGGCTCCAGCCCCTACTCACCCACTCAGTGCTATTTTGTTTGGGGTTTTTTTTTCCCCTCTGTTATCTGGGGAGTCCCTTTTCTTGTACGTCTTCTAGCTCAGCCCTGAATTTTGCATTTCACATTTGCTGAGCAAGGTGACATGCGCCTTTGATTCTAGAATTCCCAAGATTAAGGCAGGAACATATTTAGTTCCAGACCAATCAGCCTTAGGCTACAGAGCAAGACACGCTACCAACAATGCAAAACCTTATGCTCCTTTTAGACATGGGGCTTGCCGTGCGCCATCAAGCCTGGTGTCCCAAATTCTGTTTTACCATCAAGTCTATTCCTGAAGAAAGAAGGGCTTCTCCGTAAGCTTCAGTCAGCCCATGCCTCTTTCCTTGGTCTTTAACGGGATTTAGTATGTTTTGACAACAATGAATAATATTCAGGGGTAGGGTTGTGTGGTTGGTTTCAGTGGTCCTGGTATGAGCACAGGGGTGAGCGGTCCTAGGCTGAGGGTAAAGGAGACACAGGGTAGAGTCTACAAGTACAGGAGAATCTGAGAAGAAATCCTAACTTGTGCAGACTGGGTTGCTCTTCTAAGTTCTATGCCACGGAGTGTTTGGGAGTCTCCAAGAGCTAGCAGGAAAGAGAGTCTTGTGGTCGGTTTGGACACCTGAACGGAGGGTTCCAGCCATACTTCTTCACACCCCATAAGTAGGAGCCCTGACAGCTCCTACTGAAGCAGGTATGTTGGAAAGAGAAAGGGAGCCCTGGAGTTGATCACATGTCTCCTGAGAGAAAAAAGATAAAAAAAAATAAAATGCGGGCCTAAGATGTCAAGTCAGAAGAACCTGGGAGTTCTACTAGGTTTTTAGAGTCTAAAGATCCAAAAGTATACCTTCTGTCCATCCATCAGTCCATCCATCCATGCATTCATCTGTCTCTCCCACCAACACCCCACTTAAGTGATCCCAGCCTGTGAGGAGAGAGGCCTCATCCATCCCTAGCTAAAGCCCAAGAGTTCCTCCAACCCCAGGGGAAAATGAGCAAATAGAATAAAAGTCAGATTCTCCTCCTTGCTCTTCCATTAGCTAGCTATGGAATCAGGTCGCAAGACTTGGCTCTTCTGGACCTCAGATGTTTCCTCACCTGTGTAATGGAGGCAGTTAAACAAGCAGCTGGGGGGCAATCTTTCTAGTTCTAACATTCCATGGTAGACCCTTCGGCCCCTGATGTCACAAATATGGAGCTGACTCGTGATTGGCCATTGCCTCCGCCAGCTCTGCTGTCCTCTTGGTCATGGGAATGAGATGAACTTGCTCTGGGCCTTGCTACTTGTGCTCCTCTGTGACGGGCAGCCCTTGCCGTGGCTCAGGACTGTGGGAGAGCCAAGCTTAGGTATGGCTGGGACCTGAAGGAGCATAGGACCAAATAAGAGGACTGGGGAGGGGCAGCCCCTTCCCCAGGCCCACATGACCCCCCTCCCCTGCAGATGAGTTCTACAGTGAAGCTCAGGCAAAGATATTTCTGCAGTTCTATGAGCAAACAGCCCGTGTTGTGTTGAACGAGCTCGTGGAGGCCACTTGGAGCTATGTCACCAACATCACCAAGCGAAACCAAGAGAATATGGTGTGGTACCATTTTCCCCAAGGTCCTCCCTCCCTCTCCTTGCTCTTCTTAGGGATCCTGGAGGTTGGGGATCATACATAGTTCTTCCTGCCCTATGTCCAGAGTGTATGGAAAGACACCCCAAAACATATGTCAAAGTGGGCTGCAAGTTCCAGAGCTCTCAGTGGCCTTGACTTTTCTCTACATAAGAATTTCTGGATTCTTTGCCCTTGCAAGTTTTACCTCCTTCCTTTTAGGGACACGGGCATCCTATCCCTCTTAGCAAATCTTCAATGGCTCTGGACTCTTAAAGTGGGCTTTGTTTTGGGGCTGTGACCTCAGAAGTCAGCATGGGACCCATATCAGGTCCCCCAACCTGCCACAAGCAATATGATGGCCTTCTTTCCAGCTGCAGAAGGAGGCGGAGAGGTCTCAGTTCATGTTGTACTTTGGTATTCGGGCCCGCATGTTCAGGATAGACCATTTCCTGAACCCAGATGTGAAGCGCATGCTGAGTAAGCTGCAGAACATAGACAAGTCGGCCTTGCCCACGAAGGATCTCCTGGAGGTGATAGACAGAGCCCAAGGCCTCCAACGCACACACACACTCCTGCACCCCAAAGGAGGGTGGGTCAGGTCGGACTTGGAACCAGAGTATCTCAGGCAGGAGCGGGTATTGGTGGATTGGAACCAGAGCTTCCTGTAGAGGAGGAGGGGGGTACTTTAGCCAGGCCTACCTCTCCTGGCTGGTGGGGCTAGTGTTGGGAGTGGACCCAAGGACATGGGCCTACCCTGGGTGACACATGCCTGCCCCTCCCTCACTCCCAGTACAACAAACTTCTGACCTACATGGAGACAGCGTATAATAGTGCTGAGGTGTGTCTGGACGAGGGTCCCTGCTTGTCCCTGGTGCCTGGTGAGCAACCAAGCCCTGCTCCTGACCTCAACTGTGTCTCCTTGTTGGTGAAGGAGCACCTAGGGTGGGTGAGAGTAGAGGTAGGTGGGTATGGGATGCCATGTGGCTCCTATCTGGGCACAGACCTCGAAGAAGTCATGGCCACCTCC